GGACTAAACCGGCAACTATTTTTGTTGACCTTTGTCCATGGAAGGTCCCTGCAAAATTTCATTGAAATTGGTTCAGGGGTTTTGGAGAAGAAGTCGAAAATGTAAATTGTTTATGGACGCACGACGGACGACGGACGACAACGGACAAAAGGCGATCGCAATAGGTCACTTGAGACTTTGTCTCAGGTGACCTAAAAAAAAAACATTTTTTTAACGAATGCTGAGAGATTCCTTAAGATTCATTTATACATGTATTAGTCTATGTTCAGATTTTAAAAGCATTTTCCGAACTGAATCTCAATCAAATTGTCTGCTTTTTCAATAATGTACATGTACAGTACATAAAGAAAATTCAAAATGGGATTAAGTCATTCATCCCTGAAATTTCATAATGAACTATTCCAACCTTTGAATTGGAAGAGTTCTAATGAATGTGACTTCAGGGATGAATGAGTTAAGGTATGTTTTAACAATTTGGAAAATGCCTTCAATCAATCATTTTTCCTCAGAAAATAAATTTTGTTATCTGATAAGACATAAATATATTTTGTGAAATCGATTAGTTCCTCACCTCTGGTCAAACTCCCATATACAAAATGAATCAAAGGGCCATAACTCTGTATATCATATGGCATGAGGCCAATTTCAGTATGTATGACTTGGCCATCCTAAGATGTACTTTCACTTTCATGTAGAATTCGGCACTCATGTGTCAGACAGTGTATATAGGATATCCCTCAGACAAAGTAAAATCACAGTGAACAACAGGCCATAACTCTGTACAAAGTCGGACATACAGCCTGATTTTAGTATGAAGCACCGGACCATACCAAAAGATATTTACATGTGAAATTTGGCAATAGTACATGTAGATTACACAGTATCCGAGATACTGTTTTCTTGCACCTCAGACAGAGATATCCCACGTCATACCCCATGCTAGATTTTTCTAACTCGTCCGATCTGTCTTGTACCTTTACGTGACATTTCACGGAATGTTTACACTACGTTGTATTCATCCGCGCGTTAACTGCTTGAAATTGACAATTTGCATTATAAATGTTCTGTTTTGTCGTTATATGTATACTTTTGATGTTGTTAGATATTTGAGGTTGTAGATAAAATAAAATCTACACTTTGAAATACGTTGAATTCTATGTAAGGACGGACTACATTTTTACGCGGAAGCATTTAAATGTAGCTTTAGTAGTGAAGAGGTCATTATCATTTGAGGCCCAAGGCGGGATACTTGTAGTTTTTAGCAAATTTGAATGGTTCTTATAGTCTCGGACTAAGATTCTGTAACATCCCAACCTCGGCTTACGCCACGGTTGGGATTTTGTTACAGAATCTTAACCCTCGACTGAGATAACCCGATCTCACTCAGTTACAGGTAAAAGATTTTATTAAACTAAACATACTTATTTTTAGTGCACTTGAATGTTTGCGCATTATCAAATTTTAACAGTTTAGAGCATTGATGACAAAACATATGAAATCAATGACAATTTACAAAAACATTGATCAGCACTATCATAATTTAGTGCAATAATGCAAAAGTGGAAATTCTCAGGTGTTTAAATATTTGCTTTGTGACGCTTTCAACCAATTTTCATGTTGAAATCTTTGCATTAGTAATGGTTCAAGCTTATGTATCCATAATCTGTTTTTAAATATTTATGAGGATATTTTCATGTTGATTATCTCAATGCATTAAAAACATTAAACTTTTCCACACTGCAAAAAAATCCATTTTTTCAGTAGTTAATGTGCAAAAAGTGCTAAAATAAGACTGCCGCTAAAATATGGTTAGTTTATATTTACCAGTGTTTTCGCAAAACATAAAAGCTGGGGTTAAAATCAGGAATGAATCACAAATTCTGAACCCCATTATGTAGCAAGCCTTTAAAATTTTGAGGGTCAAAAGTCATTTTAGGAGATGATATACCTCCAAATTGGAGGTAAATGAAACCCTGTTTACAGTGCCCCCCCCCCCCCATACAAACTGACACATGGACCAAGAAAAAATCTTGGTACACCTTAACCTCAGTACAATACAGTACAATGATATAACACAAAAGTTTACAACACTTTCAAATCAGTATTAGTAAAATGTCTCCATATCATCATAATTATTTAGCAGGTTATTAATTAAACTTGTAATAAATGAATCCATAAACAAGAAGATATATTTATTTTGATATTGTAGAAAAATACTTATAGTACAAAAAATTGTTGTTCTTGACTAGACTCTATTGCAAGATAGCAAATTAAATTCATCGACATTTTTAAAAGTATTAATAATGATAATTACGACTAAATATATAAACAATTAAATTATCTAGGTAAAACAAATCCTATCAGTTTAAAAAAAAAAATAGTAATAATTTGAGTCTCGATTTCGTGATTTAATTTGTAATGCTTTCTCTTTACCTTTTTCTACATGTTATTTACACTGATTCAATAAATATATATAAAGCCTGCAAATTATGGTATCAGACTTAAATCATGAATAGCATAAATATAAAATATCTATAATATTGCACACAAACCGTACTTAAATATATATCAATTCACTCTGTAAACTGCTTTAAATCAGAACATTTGAACAAAGATTAATCTCTACGGCTTTCACAATAAAAGGTGGTGTTTTATTTTCACCTTTCTGATTGATATAATTTTCGCCCACCTCTACGTGTGAATGATACACGTGTCCCATGTGGGATACAGGTTTTCCAATACTTGCCCATAAAAGATAGGAATTGACCCGTGAAGAGATAAACCTATCTTTCTCGAGGGAAAGACAGCCTACACGCGCTATGACGTACATCACGACATTATAACGTATCGCCGACAGTGTTTAGCTGATGAATGAAATTATTGCCACCAGGCAAGTCCTCCAAATGACGTTGGCGTTTGAAATAGTTGAGTTCCATTGTTTTAACTGTTAGCTTTTTCTATTCCAATCAGGAGATGTAAAAAATTGGGACGCCATTTTCTACTTCAATAAGACCTGTTTCCCGATAACTAATACATTGGACTATATTTCTCCAGTTTTATCAACGAAATACTTAGTGCATAATTGGGACGCCTTTGTCTATTTGGCATTGAACGTGTCTGACCATAGCCACCTGGCAAAGCATCGTGCTACACAGCCAAAATCTTACCCTTGGGTTGAGATTTCCCTGTCCATGCACCACAACCCTGTCAGATTCTATTAATCTATATTGATGCACTCAGTGACCTGTATTATTATGATGGTCACAGCACTCAGTGACCTGTACTATTATGATATCACATCAGATGACAAGTTTTATTATGACGTCACATCCAAAACGTGTCAAAACGTCGTTTGACGGACTGTAGCAATTACGCCATTAGCATGGGACACCACCTCAAGAACACAAGAATGGTCGTACTAAGCTAACTTGCCCTTTAATTTTAAGGAGAGTGACTTCCCCTTTCAAGTTTTTCATAGACTTTGTGGCCCTTTTATTTATAATTCCTTTTTAGCTACATTGGTAAAGTTGCGGCTTTGAATTGTAAAGGTCCTGGGATCGACCTCCCTATGCTTTTCTGCTTTAAAAAAAAAATCCATTTTCGAACTTTCAAATTTCAAACAACTGTAATTTGGCAAAATGTATCCCAACATGTGATTTTTATGAAATATTTCTCTTGGAAAGGATTCGAAAACATATTTTTCACAATGGTGACAAATGTAATAATATACTTCAACTTGACGGTACTTTACCTTCTACTTTAACCCTTTCACCACTGTAGACCATAATGGACTCATCCAGATCAATGCATGGTAGAGTCTTCTAAAGTTAAATAGGGGTGAAAGGGTTAATAGGAGACATCAGTTTGTTTTATTTTAAGTGGGAAATATTCATTTGTTTTCTTTTCACAACTATTCAACCTTGGGCACAATATTAATTCAATTCATGGTCAACAATTTCGAAATTTGTGAAAAAAAAAAAAAAAAAAATTGTGTGTTAAATGAGCAGAACCTCCAATGGGAGGACGGGTTCAATACTTGGTGAATGTTTTCAAATAGCAAAGGGTGAAAAACTTATTGTACATGTTTCTGACCTGACAAGGAAATCTATAAGGTTTTCCAGTCTGGTATATAAACAAAATGTACTCGTTTCAAAGCACATACATTGTACATGTATATCGGCAAATCTAATAATTTTGAAAATATCTCCAGGAAAGATTTGGCGCAATTTTTTTTCAATCATAAATTTAATCCTTGATTTGGTGAAGGTAATGTGACCTCTTCATAAAACTTCACTACTTTATCATGAAAACAAAATCAACTAAAAGAATGATAGATTATAGGCGATTGATAATGATTCTTTAAATAAATTTTACCTGAATTAAAAAACAATAATATTGTGATACCAAAAAAATCTCGTTCCATTGATCACTGATTGCCCGAGACGTTCTGTGGACTACTGCCGTTGTTATCTGCATTTTGATTGTCTGTTGGTGAATGAATCTGCTGACCTGGTGATCCCTGATTGGATAGCTGAAATAGAGAGTACGGTGGAGGCTGGGGAAGGCCACTGCTGCTAGGCTCGGAACTACCTGAGGAAGAAAACAAAACTTTTATGAAATTTTAGCTGGTTGTGGCTTCAAGGGTTCTTATCCTTATAGCGATCAATGCCTTTTTGAATTACAATAATCTTTATTCCTTGGGCAATAGACCTTCTTCATAGGGATTAGGGTCTAGATCCTAAGGGAGACAACCTGTACAGTTTATGTGGACGTGGTGTAGACATTTTTTTATTGTTACCTGACTCGCTATATAAATGCATATTAATCAATTTCGACTGTTTCCAAGACAATATACCAAACGAACTATAGCTAATGTGTGCTACCATAAAACTGTTGACTGGTCACGTGAAACTGTTGACTGGTCACGTGTTAGGTAATTGAACGCACCTATAATTACAAGCACCCCGATGATCAAGCGTTTTTGGTACTGGATTGTTGACGGTCGTCTGTCGGTAGATCTAAACATCAAATTTGACATGGAACTTTTTGTTTTTCATTAGTCAAGTAACAAAACAGTTCATCTGGTGGGTCCAAACTCCTCGGTAAAATAGTTTTGACTGTTGACTGATAAGGCATGAAACAACTGTATATTGTGATTAGTCTATGTGGACGTGGTGTAGACATTTTTTTATTGTGATCTGTGGCAAAATCGATAAAAACAATGGAGGGAACTTGTTAGCTAGCATAGGAATACGTCCACACAGGCTGATATCTTGTACAGGTGTGTAATTTTTACACGTGCACAACTCGATCACTGCGCAGCCACACACTGACCACTACAAAGACTTTTAAGAGTTTTCAAAATAAAGTAGCCCCTGACCCCTGTCAGACAGGTCCACACCTAATCTGAATGAAGACCTCTGTCATGTATTACTGTGACAAGTGCTAAGTATACTTGCACTTTGTAAATATTGATAGAAAAACTAAAACAGTGAACAATACATTGCCATTAACTCATTCGCCGCTGAAGACACATTTGAACCCTTCTAAATCAAAGGTTTGAATAGTTCATTATGAAATTTCAGGGGTGAATGAGTTAAAATACTGACACTGTTACAAACTCAACACCTTGATTACTTCTGAACACAAAGAATTAAGAGAGATTTTCTTTCTCTTACCCTGGAAAGGTATATCCACAGGTTTACTGGTGTGAGATATCCTTGGATTCCCCTATTCATAACAATGGTATGATGTCACGTCAACAATACAATGACGTCACGTCAACAATCCATCAATGTCACGTCAACAATACAATGACGCACGTCAACAATCCATCAATATCACGTCAACAATACAATGACGCACGTCAACAATCCATCAATGTCACGTCAACAATACAATGACGTCACGTCAACAATCCATCAATGTCACGTCAACCCTGAATTTAGCTTGTAACGTTAACATTGCACTATGTATAAAATACATAACAGGAGAACACACTGAGTAAGAGAAAAAGAATCAGTCATCCCATTGAGGGTAAGATAGGGGAATCTCATCCGGAGGGGGAAGATTATTCAGTTGCCAAACACTCGGCTTTGCCGAGGGGGAAAATTCTTTAGTTGCCAAACTGAAGTGTCTTCCCCCTCGGGAGATTTGTATTGCAAACATTCATTTATCACAATCAGCATAATGAATTTGCCTTTAAATATTAAAAGATATTCATAAATTTAGACTTGTTAAAGCTATTGCTGTTGATTCAATGCTTTCTTAGTAGGAGAAAATCACTTTTGGTGTTTCTAGACGAAATAGATTTACCCTCGATATAATGCCACTCGTTTCATTTGCCACCTTGTTTACTGCCAACATATCTCAATGTCCCTATTTTCTTGTTTTCTTAAGAATTCCTTTATACATTTCCCTCACTTTATTGCCAAACCCCTTTATAATGATATCTCTGGACAAATAATGGCAGTATAACGAGGTTTTACTGTACACCTAGTGATTTACTGACCTGAGTTGTGTGGTGATACCTGTTGAGTGCCCGGGTATGGTGGCAGCACTAACTCAGACTTATGAGCGGGGTATAAGTCTGGCTGCATCATCACCTGTAATAGATTTAAAATCGAGATTGAAATTAAATTGTAGATTGCAATAATTAAAGAATTTATTACAACTCTGGCTAAGTCATCCAATAATACTTCCACATCGATCTGTATATTTCAATGCGAAGAGTATAAAATCTCGCAAACAGTTGTAGAACGACAGAAGTTCTAACATCTTACAGCTGAGTAGACAAGTAAGGAGATTGCAGTATTTTATCTCTGAGTAAGGAGACTGTAAGTTTCTTATCTCTGAGTAAGGATATTGTAGGTATCCTATCTCTGAGTAAGGAGATTGTGGTGATTTATCTCTGAGTAAGGAGATTGTAATGTCTTATCTCTGAGTAAGGAGATTGTAATTTCTTATCTCTGAGTAAGGAGATTGTAGGTATCCTATCTCTGAGTAAGGAGATTGTGGTGATTTATCTCTGAGTAAGGAGATTGTAATGTCTTATCTCTGAGTAAGGAGATTGTAATGTCTTATCTCTGAGTAAGGAGATTGTAATGTCTAATCTCTGAGTGAGGAGATTGTAAATGTCTCATCTCTGAGTAAGGGATTGTAATGTCTCAACCCTCGGGGAAAGATTTTAAAGCTGCCAAACATAAGAATCTTCCCCCTCGGGTTGAGATTCCCCTATCTCTCCACCAATGGGGTGAGAGATTCTATTAGTATCATATCTGAATAAGGAGATACACTTTGTAGTAAGTGTCTTACCTCTGGGTTAGGAGATTGTTAGAGTCTTATTAATATGTAAGGATATTTCAGGTGTCTTGTCTCTGAGTAAGGAGATTGTAAGTGCAATATATCTAAGTAAGGAGACAGTTATGTCTTATCTCTAGGTAAGGAGATAATAGTGACTTATCTCTGAATTATGAGATTTATGTGTCTTATCTCTATGTAAAGATAGTTCAGTAGTCTTGTGTCTGAGTAAGGAGATTGTTAGTGTCTTATCTCTATGTAAGAATATTTCAGGTGTCTTTTGTCTGAGTAAGGAGATCGTTAGTGTCTTATTAACTTCCGACTCTTATCTCTGAGTAGAGAGGTAGGTATGGTGCCTTAACTCTAGGCATCTAGGTAGGGGTCGTAGTCTTATCTCTGTGTATGTAGGAGATTGTTAGTGTCTTATCTCTATGTGAGGATATTTCAGGTGTCTTTTGTCTGAGTAAGGAGATCGTAAGTGTCTTATTAACTTCTGACTTTTATCTCTGAGTAGAGAGGTTGGTATGGTGCCTTAACTCTAGGGGTCTAGGTAGGGGTTGTAGTCTTATCTCTGTGTATGTAGGAGATCGTAAGTGTCTTATTAACTTCTGACTTTTATCTCTGAGTAGAGAGGTCTAGGTAGGGGTTGTAGTCTTATCTCTGTGTATGTAGGAGATTGTAAGTGTCTTATCTCTGGATGGTAAATAGAAGTTGTGGAGTAAGGAAGAGGGGATTGAAATTTCCTTATCCCTCAAGTCACAAAGGTTGTGATGTCTAATCTCTGAGTAGTCGTAGGTTGTTAAGGTCCTTTTCTCTCAAGAAGGAAGCATTAATTGGCTAATCTCTGAGAAGGGAGGCAAATTTGAAGTGTCTTATCTTTGTGCAGTAAGGAGAAATAGATGTATAATCTGTAAGTAAAGAGGAAGATTAACAAGTGTTTTACCTCTGAATAGGGCGGAGGTCGAAGATTCAGCCCAGGTCTGACGTATTCGCTGCCAGTGTAGCCAAAGTTCGAGTGCGAGGATGGCAGAAGGGAAGGATTGTTGCTGGTCCCACTCCTAATGGTGCTGGGCTGGCGGGAGCTTCGGCCCCCCTGTGAAGGCACTGTCACCCCACACACCCCACGGGACCGTGAAAATCTCTGGCGCTGTTTGTAGTACCCGCAGCCACCGAAACAAGACATGAGGACAAACAGGACAATGAACCTGTAAATGTAGGCCACACATCAGCTACATACATATACTGTTAACGTTTGAAACAAAATCATATGCAAATTCCAAATAGTCTCATCATGACTCCAAGCCTGATGGTTCATAATTAGAAGATGATTAATTTGGAAATTTTAACAAATTTTACCTGGACATAACCTCAAATGAGGGTCAAAGTAATAAAATTTGATAGACCTTCTCCCTGCCAGCTTCAGGCAAAGTAACCTGATTCTCTAGGGCCCAGGGGTTGACACTAACACTAGTCCGCTAGTCCTTGACTAATAGATTTCAACAACTTAACTGGTCCTTTGGACTTGTGAAAAATATTATTATAGTTTAAAAATATTTCTTTTTAAAATATTGAAAACAGCTTAAAATAAGATGTACTGCATGAAAATTGTCAAAATTTTCCTAAAACTTCACCATATTTTTATGGCAGTAATTATTTTATTTCCCCTACAGTCGATTACTATTGATTTTTTGTGCAGTAGATCGCGATGTCTCCTTATCAGGAAATCTTGTACTAGTTACATTGACGAAGGACTAGTACATAATCTATTCAACTAGTCCTGTGGACTACTTAAGCAAAACAAGTGTCTAACCCTCAAAAGGCAATAGGCATTATGATTTTTGAGAAGATGCCTTAATTCTCACCTTGTTAAGTTAACTGGACAAATATCACTTTTGTAGGCCACAAATTTCATTAAAAGCTATTTGAACATTTCAATATATCTTACCTATATCATCTTGAATGTATTTTAGGTTAAACAATTTAATTAATTTAATTTGTTTTATTTTAGGCATTAAGAATAAACAGACTAATCTACAGTCTAAATATTCACATCAGACCCTTATGGTTCTTAAAAGATGTTTAAAATTCCTGACACATCTGATGCCATGGGATGTTGTCTAAAAATGTTTATATTTAGAGCCCATCATATAGTTATAGCCCTCCCCCAAGACCCCAGGTCAATGTGTATCAGCTGCCCATTCTTGAGTTTAAATTTTGCTCATTATCATCTAAGAATTACTTGGTATTGGTATGATGGTGAAATTATACTTGTTAGTTTTAGAGGAGAAGTCATTGGAAGTTTTTTCACTGTGACCTCTTATGGCCCTGCACCTCAGGCCCCTGAGTGGCCAGCTCCTTTTTGAGCTCAATCATCATATTAAGTCATTGGAGGGGGGAAGGGGAGTTAGCCCTTTCTCAAGTATAATTAATTTATCATTTTATTGAATTTCATGTTAAAATCCTCCATTGTTTTAGTGATCATTTTATTTTTTTGCATTCAGACTCTGAGACAGATTATGCTAACCCGTTAACCCCTTTGGGAGGGGGGAGTATGCCCCTTCTTGAGTATAATTTTTGTATTCATCTAAGGATAACTTAATATGGTTTAATGGGGAAAATACATTGTACAGTTTCAGAAGAGATGTCATTTGAAGGTTTTGCACTCTGTAATCCCTTATGACCCAGCTGACAATCGGCATCCTTTGGGAGGGCATATAAGAGGGCATATAAGCGTCTTCTTAAGTATAGATTCTGTATTCTCCAATACAGCTTAATATGAAAACACCCAAGTTTCATCAAAATCTGGCAAGCAGTTTTAGAGGAGAAGTCAGAAATAGATTTTTTTGTGTTTACGGACGACAAATGAAACGCAATCACAGTAAGTTGCCGTGTGACATAAAAAGCTGACGCTGAATGGACACCAGCTTTGTACCAGGTGAGCTATAAATAACGTAAAATTCCAACGTATTTTATGGATCATTACGCTAATTTTAAGTTTGCCAGCAAATCACTTTACGAATAAGGAGAAAACTATAACAGTTAACACATTAATACATACCAGAAGTACCAAAGGTTGTAAAAGGACACTCGAAAGGAATAAGCATGGTTATGACGATTATCATGTCCGTCGGCACCATAGCAACAGCCACCTGGACAACAGGTCTTAGGATAATCACACCTGTAACATAATTAGTTCCTACAGTCAGCTGTAGATTGAGATTTTCATGTGTTAATATGCTGTTATTGATATATAGATCTGCCATGTGTCAATTATACTGTACATCAACAACATGTATCAACTTTCAGGGGTCAATAATGTTATCAAACCCATCAGCTGCGGATGGGTGCGTTATATTAATCAAGATATCATTGTATAGTTACTGACTTCAGGTGAGGTTGATACAATGACCTATGAACCTGGGTGGATATATTTACTATCAAGTCAATAATAACGCTGTACAGCATTTTCAATAATGGTGGTTACAAAGGTATATTCATCTCTGTACCATAGTTTAAGTGTATAAGTCCTTTATAAATAGGTCTGTGATAAGTCTACATAATCGAGTCCGAAGTTTTATTATCATTGAATATTGATATATTTCAATTCATATTATTGCTACGATAAATTATATACCTGTATGGGTATACTGGGTAAAACTACCAGTAGTCTGATTTGAATTCAAACGACACTTTTTGTAAAATGTTAAAACAATAAAAAAAATATTTTCACCTTAATTAAGGTAATTAATGTTTTGACGAACTTGTATGAAACTGACCTGAAATTACTGTATCTTATACTTAAAGCTGACAGTGCAAGTTAAAAAGCTTTCAATTTGTATGGGGGAAGATCTCAAAACCAGAAAAAATATTTTGAGATTTTTTTTTAATCTCAATTGAAAGCTTTTTAACTTGCACTGTCAGCTTAAAGTACAGGCTAAATTTGCTGAAAGTCTTCGTATATAGCATAAATAATTTATAAAGTGAATTTTTATTTTTCAAGTTTGGTCAAAGGATGACGTTAATGTTGGAAACCATCAACTAATTAATAGACCACAGCTGATGGTTTGCAAAATCCCTGCATGTCAATTATGCAGGGATTTTGCTCAAATCGACCATACTCTGTGAACCATACCAAGTTATCATTACAAATGACTGGCGGAGAGACATGTAAAATGCATGAAATTTTTGAATGGCAATTAAGGCAGTGTTTCATAAACATGAAAATTTATAACAAATGCCTATGTGGAATATCAGAAACAAAAAAAAATGCACAGCCAGCCCAGGATTCAAACCCGGGACCCACCAAACTCTAGCTTATAATTTTGAAGTTTAGGAAACACTGCCTTGCCAGGAAACAAAAATGTCCCTTTCAGGAATTCACAATAACCATGTTTTACTCAGCCTGTATATCACACGTTGTAAGCTAAGGTAAACAATTATATGCTAGCTTGGTCACAAGTCTAGTATAGTCCTATGCTAATCACTGATCAGGACCCTGCATTCAAACATTTCATGCATTTTACATGAAAGTGTGGCAGGTTTTAATTGTACATAGGATTAAGGTCGCCTTCTAGCTTCAAGCTAGAGGGAATTTCCCTTTAGCTCAGTGATAGAGCGTCCCACTAGGAACCTGGAGATCGAGGGTTCAATCCCTGGTGGAAGCACACTATTCTCTTTCCTGTTACAAATAGTGTCCCTTGCCCTTCCTGTGGTGACAGGGAGTTAGAACCTGGGTTGTGGTGTTCGAGGTCGAACACATTTAAAAAGGGGGAGTAGTGTGGCAGGTTTTAATTGTACATAGGATTAAGGTCGCCTTCTAGCTTCGAGCTAGGGCGGATTTCCCTTTAGCTCGGTGGTAGAGCGTCCGACTAGGAACCTGGAGATCGAGGGTTCAATCCCTGGTGGAAGCACACTATTCTCTTTCCTGTTACAATTAAAGCAATATTTCTCTTTCTCCCGTTACACTATATATAGTGAACTGATATCTCTTAGTCCTTACCAGGTGCAGGTGTTCAAATTGTCATCAATATATTTACACGTATAGATTAACAATGGACAAAGAGCACCACCAATACAGTTCTATAAGGATCTCAGGGGACACACAACTATACTTTGGTTGTGTTTCTGTCCAATGTCCATACTGATGTAGTAGGACGAGGAATAGTGATGAAGATAGTACAGTCGCTGGGCCTCGAACCTGCGACCATTTGGCTCTCCAGCCCGATGCTCCACCACTGAGCTAAAGGGAAATTCCCTAGATCTGACGCTTGTAAGGCAACCTAATAAATGCAATTCTTTTACACTATTCCCACCTTTTTCAAACACCAACCCAGGTTCTTTGACTCCCCGCCAAGGGTTCTCCTACCGTTAACGGGGAGGGTCAACGGCACCAATTTGTAGTAGGACGAGGAATAGTGATAAAGATAGTGACGTTGCTGGGCCTCGAACCAGCAACCTTTGGCTCTCCAGCCCGATGCTCTACCGCTGAGCTAAAGGGGAAATCCCTACAGCTGACGCTTGTAAGGCAACCTAATCAATGCAATTCTTTAACACTGACAACTTCTCCCTGGCCTTATAACCAAATAAATGGGCAGTCTAGTAGTGATGGGCAATCGGTGTAAAATCATTAATCGATAATCGGTTTGTAATCGGAAATAGTAAACTGATTGATGATCGATTGCATAATCGGTTCATACTTTTATGGACACTACCATAAACATCAATAGAAAGAGTTGTTAACTATACACTAGGTTTCGTTCTTTTATTATGAAACGATTTAAAGCAATTTTTATGCAGTTATATCAATCACATAGCAAAAATCATCAGAATATATGACTTTCAATATTTTATTTACATTGAAAACATTAATGAACACTTTGATTTAATGAAGAACTGATTATATCAATAATGAAATTTGTAATTAATAATCGGAATAGGAAAGGACAAACCAATTGATTTTCGATTATAATCGATCATCAGCCCAGCACTAATGTATAGGTCACTGAAACCTACTGAACTATATGACTGTGAATTAAGATTTTGCTCAACTATCACAAACTTAGTTATCTGATTGTGGCAGGTTTTAATTGTACATGGGATTAAAGTCACCTTCTAGCTTCGAGCTAGAGGGAATTTCCCTTTAGCTCAGTGATGGAGTGTCTAATAGGAACCTGAAGATTGAGGGTTCGATCCCCGATGGAAGGACATCTTTAAATTCTCTTTCAAACCTGTTACAAATGGTGTCTGTGAACCTCCCAGTGGTGACAATGAGTTAGATCCTGGGTTGTGGTGTTCGGGGGCGAACACATTTAAAAAGGGGGGAGTAGTGTGGCAGGTTTTAATTGTACATAGGATTAAGGTTGCCTTCTAGCTTCGAGCTAGAGGGAATTTCCCTTTAGCTCAGTGGTAGAGCGTCAGACTAGGAACCTGGAGATCGAGGGTTCGATCCCGGGTGGAAGTACACTTTTCTCTTTCCTGTTACATATGACAAATTGTACTAACACATTACCGACAGAGTAATGATGTTACATGCCCGAGGATTAAGAACGCCTGTAAAAATACATTCATTGGCCATCATTTGGTCTTTCCTACTTAAACCTACATGTAGAGCTATACATAATTAATTTGTGAAAAATCCATTAGATTTGTTTTTCATTTGCGGCTATACACAACAGTATATTGATGTGGCCTCCACGCCTGTGTACTATATATATATGTGATAATTACGAAAAGCATTCTGGTCACTGACCACACAAGTTGATATATATATTGTCTTTGACATAAACCAAAAACCAATCTACTACTGAAATGTATATACATTTCAGCAGTGGATTATATGTAACAGGACGGGGAAAATGCTCAGCCAGACTAGATGGACACTCTACGAATTGAGCTTTACCTGGTCACTGAAATAGTAAAGCTAAATATAAAAGCCAGGGAAAGTGAAATGGATGACCAGAGGACTATCGCCTGAGAAAGATGAGAATAAAAAACTTAAGTAGCATACATATTTTTTTTATTTTTTGTTATATTTCATTTGCATGAATGATATTCAAACGAGATACAACAGTACACCAGTCACCTTATTTCCAAAACAGTGACTTATTGAGTGAGAAGAAAGATTGGAGCTAGGCTACCAGATTTTCCAATTTGTACCTGGATTATTTTTGACTGGTAGCCTGTAGCTATAGCTATGCTAACAGCCCGCCAAAGAGAAGCCAGTTTAGATCCCTGTAAAGATATGCTTCAAAAAATATGGTTCTGAACTGTATGGATATCGGGAGGGAAATTCAATTGTTTCCAAGTTATGACCCAGGGATGAGTCTTCAAGAATGGGGCCAGACCCCTGAGCTATCCTAGTAGCATGGCCATATTCGTCTCTTCATACCTAGCAACTCTATATATCATATATGGTTTTAAATTAGGGATCTCAACTGTTTCCTGTAAATTTTATGATCCGGGTACTTAATTCCAAGGCGCAGAGCCAGCAATTTACTTAATTATTGGTGTATGGTGGGAATCACATCTCTGTCCATGTCATGTTCAAGGACCTAGCACGGTAAGTCCACAGGGATGGAGATCGGTCAAAAGGTCAATCCTAGTACATGACTTGTTTTTCCACAATAGTCAATGTTTACATTTAATTTACATATGATTATAGGGTGGAACTTCAATTGTTTCCAAATTGGCGCTTTCCCCCTGACGTGGGCGAGCACAAACCTCCAAGCTAATGTTGGTAGCATGCAGGGGTGTATATGTATACATTTTCCGGTTAGAATGTGTCGGTAGCTTTGGTATAAATATGCCATTTAAATTGTTTACGGGCTCGCAGTGAGTACTAATTGCTGTTAATCAACATTGATGAAGTTTGTTTCTTAATTTATTTGAACAAAGTGTTTTTACAGTCAAGCACATTTTAATGCCATAAGTTTAATAGCAGTAATTATGACCGAGAGTAAGCTGCTGTTTACCGTAGCACTGCGTCTAATATCTATCAAATAATTAAAGAATATATGATAGACTTGTGAATCTTAAGAAATTTCGAGGTAGGAGATATTTTTGTGTAGGATTTACGTTGTTGGGACCTATGTTTCACTTCAGGATATCCAAGTTTTTCGAGTTTTCAGAGTTCGAATTATCAGAGTTTTTATTACTAAGATTAAGAAGAGTTTTGGCCGGGACCGATGAAATACTTCGAGTTAAACAGGGTCTTTGAGTGATACGAGTTCGAGATAACGAGGTTTGACTGTATATATATTTCCATTTGCTCTGTATTGCCACTATATAACCTTACCAAACAAAATAGAAAGATATCAGATCATAGTTTTCACATAATTCTCATTGGTGCAGTGATCATGATATGAAGAACATGTGTGTTACGTCGTGACTTATAAATGACGTCATTTTGACCGACGTCACTTTATTAAGTGTATTATTGATGTCACCAAAAAAATGTTGCAATCCACATTCCTCAGGGTAACCTACGTATTCGTGCTACCGGATTAAAAAACCCAATTGATCAATGTAACTCGCAACAATTTATGTAGTTATGTTGATGATTTTGTGTTTATTTCCACGAACTATATTTTTTGCCATTAACGGTCGTGTGTACTCATGACGTCACAAGAACCGGTCCCATTGACAGCGCGAAATTTGACTTTGAAATGCGATAACAGGTTGGAAATATAGGAAAAAAACTCACAGGATTGCAGACTTATTAATCATAACGCGCTAACGTTATTCAACTTGTCTGCAATCCCGTGAGAATTATAGGACAATAACTTTCGAAAGAAGGCAGTTTAATGCTTAAATAATATATAAATATATTTACTACTGATGTTGAGCATGGGGTATATATTGTTATAGGGTGGGGATCTCATCTTACCTTTGGGATAAATCCTTTTGGAAAATGTGTATTCATCTCTTCCTGCAAAGTGATTGTATAAGCAGAAATCTCAACCATTTCCAAGTTACCACCCCATTTCACTATTGGACCCCATCCCTGTGGGTGGGAACAGATCCCAGAGTAAATACTGGTAGCATGTATTTGTGTAATGATGTCAGGTAATGGTATAAGATTTATAGGGTTTCCAATCATGTCTCTCCCTATAGCTAGCTCTGCCGTAGTGGGGGGCCACAATATCCAAAATGGTCAAAATTAATACGGATACAGTTGAGATCCCTATCCTTCATTGTACATTGTATAGCTACACACATAATAGAAACAGATCTAAACCCTATATCTAATGAAACATGAAAGACTTACAGCCCATCACTATTATATCACAATGGTAGCCTTATTCCTTTGTGTCTTAAATATCGGCTAACAAGAAATACATTATCTAATATATCAAAGTGTAAGAGAATACTTATATATTGTTACAATTAACCCTAATTAAATTCCTCACTTTTCGCCTGTATCACTGCAGTACTGTGTGTCAGCTACAACCTGAAATTAAATAGAAAATTACATTAGACAACTACAATTCTTTTGATATGTTACTGTACTGTATTATAAACGTTAATTACAAAATATCATATATATATATATATATACATTTATTTATATATCTTTAATATACAGTATTAGCAAAATACATCTACATATATATATATATATATATATATACTGGAGGGTCATCTTTGCTATTAAAATAACACATATCCAGCACATGTCTTGTGATTTATTTATTAGTAACAAAACAGCATCCGCAGCCACAGGTTGGTTTATATAGCTGGAGAAACAAGTCTCGTCTTCATCATCACACCGAGTGATAGTGACGAAATGTCAATAATTCAAGTGAATTTACCTGATTGACGATTTCCACCAAGAAAACAATCCATGTCACAAACTGAACATCACAATTTTTAATCATTTTCCACAAAGATCAGAGCATAGGTCTCCTCTAAGCTGCAGAAGACAGTTCGTTTTCACTCTGTTTCGGTTTCACAATATTTCTCGACACTTCCGGACATGCTCCATCAACCGTGTTTGACGTAATCAATATGCTGCTGCTGCTGCATAGGACCAACGCTCGGCAATTTCCGTTCAAGTATAAGTGACGGGAAAGGGCGAAGTGATCCGATTGGAGGATCCTGCTGATTTCCTATGATTTGTGGAGGCGCAATTTTATTGATCAGGAAGTAAATCTTCTCATTACGTATTAGGACACTAAAACACGTATCTCTTTACACTACATACATACATATACATACATACATGTACGCACACATGCACCCACACATATTACACACATAAAAACGGGGGAAAATCTATGTAATTCCGCGAATAAAGTCACGATTTATAGATGGTTGACCCTTACTTTCCTTTGTGTAATAGTTTCCAATATAACATTTTATCACTTCGCTAATTAGCGTTAGGGACCTACAGTAGATGTATAAACACGGACTTTGATAGCAAACTAATCTAATTCCGTGGTGTAAAATAAATTAATCTTTGCATGTCAAGTCACGTTCCAAATTAAAGGTCAGATCAGAGACATATAAAGCCATAAGTAGTATATATATGTCTCTGTTCTGAAATTGTAACAAATCATTCAAAAGATATTTCTCTCATAAGATTTACATAATTTTCCGTGAAGCAGCTTTCGAGATATATAAAATATATTTTTTACACTAAAACTCTGGTAAGAAAAAGACAAAATAGTACCACAAACACAATTTCTCATTTCGTTCACGCAGATACGTATATATTAGGTAATATATACGTCTCTGGTTCACGATACATTTTGCAATAGCAATAGCGTCACAGTTGGAAATAAAATAAAACGGTCAAAAGATGAGAAAATGCGTGAGATATAGAAGCAAAACATGCCTCTGACCTTTAATGTGGCAAGAGAATGTCTACATGCATGATCACCTCGTATCCTGTTGAATTCTCTTAAAAGATCTGGCGCAATGTCTTATATTCGACGATGGCGTATCCTCGTGTTTAGTGAAACGAAAATACCAGAAGGAATCGAATTAACAATGAGAAGGCAACAGAGGCACGGGAAGTGATGAACATTAGAAAAGCAGAGTGTTTTGAATAGTGGACAGTGTTACTAGTGCCTTCTGTGTCGGAGAAGATCACTACCACGATCTCAAATTAAATATCTTCAAGCTATGACCTCCC